TTAGCTGTAGTAAATAACCATGGATATCAACGCCTGTATTTGTGGCATTTAACCTTGATAAACTGTTTTACTTGATCTAATTCACCCATCATTGTCTGGATTGTTACCGAACACTCTCAGGTTGTCCTAAGACATCAGTATTTGTAGCTTAAATTACCTACTAAATTTACTTTTCTCCCACCCACGATATTCCCTATACTATTACATGTCTGGTTTTTTGTAACTGCTCTATTGAGTGTGAGTGTGATTACGTTAGTGTCCTTGAGTTGAAGACAAATAGTCCCAGTAGTTGGGTCAGTTGTCCTATCAGTCTGCAATGAAAAGCGAACTTCCTCTGTTGATTATTGCATTCAGTGACTTATTAACGTCTGCTCTTTGCAAAATACGGGCATCAGTACTTTTTAATCGTTCCCCTAGTAATTCTAAGGCATTTTTGAAAATCACCGCCTGCGTCGCGCAATATCATCTCTGTCCCATTTGCCGGGTTCGGGGGACGCTAATTTTGGAATTTCTGTGAGGCTGTGTACAGAGCACCCCAAGTCGCGGAGGATCCATGAAGGTGAGGTGTGTTCCAGCTTTAGGGTGTATAACCCTAATCAAACCCTAATTAAACCCTAAAACCCTAAACCTTAAACTCGAAACTCTAAACTCTTGGAGACTAGGATGTAGTGCTGCCTTGGTTCGGGTTCCCGTGCGTTTTGCCTTCGACTTTGAGGCCTTGAGGCTCCCCCAAGGCAGTGCCAGGGCTTGGGTTCTATAGTCGACTTTTCTGGAGGAGGATCCTCAACCCTAAACATCCCTAAGCCCTCATGTGGTCCAGATATATATGTATACACATACATACACAGTTCATGATACCGATCATCACTTATACATAAATAAATGCAAATAAATGCATATATACACACACCTGTATATATACATATACAACTATCCAGAACTGTACATAGAGTACCGCAGGCTGCTGATGCTGAGGCAATGGCGCCCCAGAACTTCCAGTAGGGCTGGATGCCGTGGAGGTAATCCTGGAACACCTGAGCCGGTTTAGGGTTTGGTTTAGGGCCTGAGCCACACCCAGTAAGCCGAAGAAAATACCCCCCCCCCCCTCCGCCCCCGAAGTAAGGAATATGTCTAGCTCCATATTTTCCGGGGCCACGGAGTTTAAGAACCCTCAACCCTAAACCCCAACCCGACACCCTCGGGTCTATTCCTTAGGGGTATTTGAGATCTTTGGGTGGAACTTCATCTTGGATTGTCGCGGCAGGGCGACGTCAACCCCGAAAACCTAAACCCGAATTGGGTTTAGGGTTTGGGGTTTAGGGTTTAGGGTGTGGGGTTTAGGGTTTTAACAGCTATGACCAGCCTAAACCGACGAAAGCCGCCCCAAAGCCTACACCCGACATGCCGGGCTGATGAGCCCTGAGCCCTCTGGTCGTGCAGTATATACATACATATATAGTATTTGTGTACAAAAAATACAAATATGAATGTAAATAGAAATAGAAATATAAATACAAATATAACAGCAAAAACACAAAACACAAACACAAACACAAACATAAATACAAATGCAAATACACACACACATATATATATAGATATCTATATGTATAAATATATAGTATACTAATATATACTAATATATACTAATATATACTAATATAATATAATATAATATAATATAATATAATATAATATAATATATTTTAAGATAATCTAATACAATATAATATAATATATGTATGTATAGATATAATAGTAATTATAAATATAAACATTTCTATATATATATATATATGTATATGTATATATAAACATGAAGATATGCATATGTAATACAATAACTAAATAGTGACAGATATATATATATATGTATACATACGTATACATATATATATAGATCTAGAGTTTCATTTATTTTATATCCATGGATGGAGGGGAGCTTCCGAACCTAGGGGCAGCCTTTTTTTTGGGTTCCTAGAACAAACTTTGCAGTACTTTGGGGTAAACTAGGGGGCACCGCCTATTTTTCTAGGAAATGTGCAGAATTGCTCTTAGGGTTGGACGGGGGGTTCAGGTTTAGGGGTTTAAGGCTTTAAGGATTGGGGTCTGGTTCTGGAGCCTCTCGCACCCAAAAAGGCCCCAAAGGGTTCAAGCTTGCCTGCCAAGCATCACCTCAGCAAGTGAATGCCAAGGGCCAAGCGCGCTCAAAGGCGACGACGAAGATCAGAGCAAAGCTGCATAGGATGTAGATGATCCTTGTCGGGCTCAGGGCTTAGGGTTTAGGGTTTCGGGTTTAGGGTTTGGATGATGACTCTAACGACGCGTAGTATATGTTGCTATTGTTTTGCTGTTGCTTGTGACTCATTCTTGTTCTCGCTTGTATGTTGTGCGGAGGGCTGATGGGGAGGCTGAATGGGGACTAAGGGAGGGAACCTTGTAAGGGACCGCTTGGGGGCTCTATAAGGGGCTATTGAGAGGCGACTTAGATATCCGGACTATGTAAGTAAAGTATGTGTTCGCGTAGCGGGCAGGATTAGGCGTCCCTAACCCCTAACCCCTAAACCCTCTAGGGGTTCCACCCTCCTAGATTGTGTGAATTTACGCACAAAGCAAGCTGGGGGCTTCGCCCCTGAGTTGTGGGGTAGAAGTTCAGGTCGTACCAGACGTTGCAGCTTTCGCACTTCTGGTATACCTGCCCAGGGACTCCAATACCCCTTAAATGGAAGCGCTCAGCCCTCAACCCTAAAGCCAGAAATAAGGGCGCACCCAGTAGCACAGCGTCGGCACGCTAGAGGCCAGGACGCCCTTAAAGATGACTTCCAAGAGGGTCGTCACCAAGAGGATAAACACCCAGGCCTGCAAACAACAGGGATGAGGGTTCAGGATTTAGGGCTTAGGGTTCGGGATTTAGAGTTTAGGGTTTGGGGTTGAGGGTTCGGATTCAAGGTTTGCCGCTTCTCTCGAAGGATCGAAGCAGAAGGCATGCCGGGGCCCACCGTTGAATCAGGTCCTCTGCAGGGCAACTTCTTAGGGGCATTCGGCTTGGCGGGGGGCCGCCCTTGAAGAAGGTAATAAGGGTACGAGAGAATAGAGTTTTGGGGGTTTATTGTAGTATAATGATAAAGGGACTAGAAGGAGATATTCTCAGTAAGTATTCTGACCCCTATTTTACCGGAGCGTGCTGGTACACTCTTGGGGGTTCAGGACTTGAATGAGCAGGACAGGGGGCCACCTCGGGAAACTGGTACGTTCTTAGGGGTTGCAGGCTTTGTTTAGGGGAGCTTTAAGGTTTTCGCTTCTTTTTTGGCGAGGGGGGAGGGGAAAACGTAATGAGCCGACATACATCAGCGTGTGTAAAGGAACAACAACAAAAGCAAACACAAGACATGCATGTTCATGCAAACAGCACTATACTACAATACACAGTCCCAAACCCGCCTATCACCTTGTGCTTTGCCTTCAGCCCTGCAGCCGAATGTACACCCAAGGCCTACATGCCTCGGCGTCCCTAAGCCCTGAAAGCCCGCCACGCCTGCACGCCAGAGAGGCTCAGCTTTTTGAAAGCCGTGACCACCTCCACTAGGGGCGCTCTGAGCCCGAAGCGCTGAAACCAGGATTCCTTGCTTTGGAGTAGACCCTGGAAAAGAAGCATATACCTTTTTGAGGTATAAGTAGCTATAATCGGAACCCAGAACCAGAAAAAGTATTCCAGCATAGTAGTTCCAGGCTTGTTTTTGGGACATGGAGGTTCGATGACGGGTTCTTTTGCGGCAGGGTTTAGGGCGTTCCCTTCTCAACAATTGAAGCACCGAATGGAAACTGGCCGTGGCAACAGCTGTGCGGAATGATTTTGGAAATATTTGGGGGTTTCCGACAACAGGGGTACGCTTTTTTGAGGGGTCCCTTTCAGGGGATTCTATTCTATTTGGGGTCTAAAAAGGGGGTACCGGGGTACCTCTATTTTTGTTTAATTCCCAAACGGTCTACTGTTAGGGTTCAAAATTCATTTAAGGATTGCCGACATTCTGAGGACTGTGTCTCCCTTTGTCTCCCTTCGTCTCCCTTTGTCTCCCTTCACGTGGGTGGCTTTGCCGGGTTGCTGTGCTCTTCGTCTCCCTTTGTCTCCCTTCTCCACTGTTTCTTTGACTGTTTGGGGTCTTCGGTGGTGTAATTTGCCATCTGAAGCTCCCATCTTCTGCAGCCTCAGCTTTCACTTCCTTTGCAAAGATGCGCTGCAGTACCCTCAGTCTAAACTCTGTAATGTACTCAGAACCCCAAAAAAGGATCATTATTTAGTGCTGTGACGAGCCGCAAGGAACCACTCACCCCAACCCTTCGCCTTTTTTCTATGCCCATACACCGAAGGTCGAGCATTTTGAGAGGAGGCTGTAGACTCCAAGCCACAACCACGGTTTTTGCCTTGGGGTTTCGGGGTACGTGTTGTACAATATCTTCAACCGTCGCTGCCTCCAGATAGCGGGTGCCGGTGGTGTTCATGACACCAAGCGACATGTGACCTTGACACACGCCGTTTGCAAGGGCTTGGTGACTTAGGCTGTGGAGGGTGCCAAAGATCCTCAGTAATATACCAAGGTGCTGCTGCATCAGGTTCTTTATGCTTCCGGGACTGGGATTGCATCAGCCCGCCTCTCTCTCTCTCTCGCGCTCTGCTTGGCCTTCATCAAGAGGGTACAGTAGTCCAATTAGTCTCATGTGGCCTACGGATCTCCCTGCTCTGCTCTGCTCTGCTCCGCTCCGCTCTGCTCCGCTCTCTCTCTCTCTCTCTCTGTTTCTCTCTCTCTCTCTCTCTCTCCTCGGCGTGCTTCAATGATATACAAGTTAGCAAGAAAACGACGACATTCCCTTCTAGATAGGCGAAGTTAAGGGAGGTAACCTAAGCCCAACCCTATACCCTAAAACCGCTCAAGAATCGGGCGGCGAGGACCCGCAACCCCACCAACGGCCATCGCAGAGTCCGAGAACTCGAGTGAAATTCTGTTGCTTGTACCACTTCCCAGTGCTGAAAAGCAAAAGAGGCGCAGACGTCGCACATCAGGCGAAACTGGCATTCGAGGCGTCTGCTTCCCAGCATCCTTACAGACACACATTTCAAGGATGAACAATGTGGTGACGGGGGTGGGGGGCGCAACCCCAATACCTAGGTTCCTACACCTGAGGCCCTAAATCCCAAGTTGTAGAAAGAAGCGCCCTGGTTTAAGATGCAGATGAAGTGAGACTTCCTCTTTTTAGGGGTGCCCAGCTGCGTTCCGTATTCCGCTAACCACAAAGTAGGGCGACTTCCCGATGCCCCTCCACAAGAAAATGCAGCAAGTGTGGGTCTAAGTCATCTTCGGGAGTCCTGACCCTAAGCCCTCACCCTAAACACTCTCATTCAGACCCAGGGTTTAGAGTTTCATTGCAAGGTTCTTCATAGGGTTTCTAGGGCTTGAGGGGTTGCAGGGTTTAGGGGCGAAGCAACTGTCACGATGCCGTGCGCATGGGCAGAGGACGGGCCCGCGGTTATCTGCAGGTCCTGCCTTTTATCAGGCCTCATTGGTTGTGGGTTTAGGGTATAGGGTTTAGGGTTTAGGTATAGGAACACCCCCATCCACAAAAAATGGCTCCAAATTCTGACATCCTACAAAGTTCCCTGCTTAAGGGACACCCGAGGCCGCACACCCTAAGTATTCCAGAAACCCAGCTTGCCTTGACGGTGGCCAAAGCTTCCTCGGCTGCCGCGACGGCCGCGGCAGCCAAAGGCAAAGGCACCTTGCGGACATGCTGAGCTTGAGGTTTGGAACCATAAACCCCGAGCCTGAACCCAAAAGCCGAACAAACCCTAAGCAAGCTTTACAAGGCGAGAAGGTTTCTTGATGCCGGGCTTTGCGAATACCCCTTAAACCACAAAATACGGTTGCAGGTTTACGCGAGTAGCTCTCCAAACAAGCCCCAATGTAAGGGGCCGCTCTACGAAGCCTGCAAACTCCCGAAGCCCCTGCCCAGGAACCTAGGCTTAAAAAGGGTGCCCTTTTTTGCTTAAAGGGGTTTATAAGGGAACCTAAACCCACCCAAAAAGGGAATAAGGGTACTACTGGGCATCCTAGGAAACAACCCCAACACGCCAGCCTAGCCCTGTACACTAGAGACCCCACGTGCCTCAAACCGTTCAAAAAGCCATGCCCGCTTAAACCCAAATCCCCAAACCCCCTTCGAGATCTTAGAACTAACTTGAAGGAGAACACCTCAAACAATAACTTATTTCGATCATCCTCACCCTGCAGCTACCCGACGTGGGAGCCATCCTGACGTTTTGAAAGCCACCCAACCCCACACCTAAGGTGGGGAATAACAAGAAACCCTATATGCTTTGTGGGCATTTTCAGAATGAGGCTGTTTTGGAAGATGACTCCTAAGCCCTAAAACGACCATGAGCTGGCACCTCCGAGACTGGGACGCCGGGCTGGGGACCTGGTGGTTTAAAGAAAAGAACGAGAGGTGGGGGCGTAATTAGGGTTTAGGTTCAGGGCGCTTGGGAGGCTTGACGGTTTAGGAACTTAGAAACTCGGATTTAGGTTGGGGATTCTGGATTTAGGGCTTAGGCGTTTGACGCTTTAGGATGGCGTGGCAGCATGGCTGTATAGGACTAGTGTGACTAGTAGTCCTGCTGTGTTTCTGTGGAGGCGTTGAAGACCCCGAGAAAGCCAAGCAAGCGTGGCCTGCAGAGGGAGATGGCGTCTTCAGCCTCGCAGCTATGTAGGGCTTCCCTGCAAAGGGGATGATTGGCTTAGGGTTTAGAGATGTTTGGGGTTTGCAGTTTAGGGGGTTCGTATGCTTTCGGGTTTAGGCCGAGGTGCCTGAACTCAGAGGGAGTCTATCAGGGCTCTTGAGTGATTTGGGGCTTTAGGGTTTGGGGGTTCAGGGCTTCAGTGCTTCGGGGCGTTGGTTGGTTTAGAAGGGGCGACTGATTTGAGAGTGACAGTTCGGTGAAGCGATGAATGGCTTAGGACTTCGGGTTCAGCTTTGCATGTGTTTCTGGTCTGTGTCGAGATGCATCAGCGTTCTGCGTTTTTTGGGGTTGGAGTTTGCGTTTGTTGCCGGCTGGGCTTGCTCAATAGAAGTATATTATCTTATATGGTATTAGATTAGACTAGATTATTTTTTTATTATGCTGTGTTCTATTATACATTATATTTTTATGTAGATTATCCTATGTTATAGTTTTTTTAAGGTCGCACCTCTGCATGGCTGACTGGCCCACAGTGCTCGGTGCTCTCGACTCGCCTTGCAGCACCCACTCACGAAGAGCGCTCGACCGTCGCATTTGGTGGGGCATTCGGACGAGAAGCATTCCACATGCTGCAAAGCACGAAAGCCTCCCCCCCCGCTGTCCACCCCCCCCCCCCGCCCCCGAAAAAGTTCTCAGGCCCCAACTGTGAGGCGTCAACAAAGAGTGCAGGGCATTCGGCGGGTTCTCCGACACCTTGGGCGCGAGGTGCTCTGGAGGTTGGCCTGGGCTCTCCCTCCTTCGCTCATCCTCTTCCACCAAGAGAGTTCCCAGCTCCGAGGGCCGATTGCTGTGGGGCGCCTCGCTGCCTTCTTTTGCCGTGACCTCTGTGTGCTCCGCCTGCTCCGCAACATGGACGGCAGGGACTGGTGGCGGCTCCTGGCAGCTTTCCGGCACGTCGTTGGGCTCTGTGACAGGGACCTCTTCCAGCTGCTCGGCCGTCTCTTCCAGGATGGAAGCCGTTCGCGACCGACAAGGAGCCAGGCTCTCATGTTCGAGGTCCGGGCCTCTCTCCTGCTTCTGGCGCTCCTCGGAGCAGGGCCTGTCCCTACACCTCCCCTGCCGCGGCTGCGTGCGCCGGAGGCTGGGCCAACTGACGCTGCGCCGATCCACCTTGCCGTCCCGTGCCTGGCACTGCAGAAAAAGGGTTTGAGTCAAGGCTTGCACTAAATCTAAACTGCTACCAGTATAAGTTCCTAGAACTCGTAAGCCCCAAAAGTGCTTATGAGCCCATGGCGGGTGCTGATGCTTCTCAGTGTGTAGGCATGCTGCAAAGATATGCTGATATGATCTAGTTGAAGTTTAAGATCTTGAAAGGGACTATACAGTAGCCACCTTGGCGCCCAAGTACTTCCTAGCAAAGAAATACGCGGACCCTATATGGTGACCTAAACTGTGAGCCCCTTTTGCCACCCAAGGCTTTCAAGCGAACACTCTAATCGAGACTCCCATAATCAAGCAACATGGCCTGATGCCTCGAACGAGGTGGCTGAAGATCACCAGCGCTCCTGCTGTTCAGGCAGAGTAGACTTCCTAAACCCCTAAACCCCTAAACCCCTAAACCCCTAAACCCCTAAACCCCTAAACCCCTAAACCCCTAAACCCCTAAACCCCTAAACCCCTAAACCCCTAAACCCTAAACCCCCTAAACCCCTAACCCTAAACCCCCTAAACCCCTAAACCCCTAAACCCCTAAACCCCTAAACCCCTAAACCCCTAAACCCCTAAACCCCTAAACCTAAACCCTAAACCCTAAACCCTAAACCCTAAAGGCATCCTAAACTTGGCTGATGGGATGGTTTATCAGGCAATCCCGAGGCCTGAAAAGCATATCCTGCTTTCCTTCATGGAGTTTGTGCATGGTTCCATACGGAACCTTTCCCCTAAGAAGCTAGGGGGGCTAGGCCTAGAAGCACGCACTTTGCAAAGGATCGCTATGGTAAGCAACTGCAAATCCTAAACCCTCAGCTCGTAAATTCTAAGCCCTCACGCCCTGAGTCTTCGACCCCTGAATAAGCGCACATCGTTCCTGAACCCGTTTTGCGCCGATTAGTGGCTGGAACAAACTGAGCAGGAAATCCACACTCCGGGGTTTGGAGATCTCTTCCCTAAACCCTATTCCAAAATGTCCTGGCATGCGCTGGTGTCAGCTCCTCGCCGGCTTCCAGCAGTCCTGCTGTCGCAGCATCTGACATCTACCCCTGTGGGAGCCCAAATACCCCCGCATTGCGGCACATCCTCTAACCAAATTACGGGTACCCCCTAAACCCTCGACCCTAAACCCTAGCCTAAACCCTAAACCCTAACCCTAAATTTGATGAGCCAAGTAACCAAGTAAGCTCTCTTCTTGAAGTAGCGGGTATGGTGTTCTGTGTGTACCTTTGCGAACCAGTGCTGTCTTTGCTCTGTGGATAGATGCAGAGAGGTCCTTAAGGGTACCTTTTCAGTTCATGGTACTGCGCATGCCCCAAACTCAGCTTAGCACGACCCTTCCAAGTCACACAACGTCCTGAACTCACAGTTTTTGATAACCCAAAAACTCCCAAAGCCCGAAACCCTAAACCCTCCAGCGCAGCCTTCGGTGGCCTCCTCAGTCGGCATGGGGCCTGCACCCACAACACACCCTAAGACCATAGTCCATGCTAGCTACCTGGTCAAGGTCAGAGTCACAGTCGGCTCCCTTCAAAGGGTTTAGGGCTTAGGGTTTACGGTATGGACTCTCCCAAAAAGGCATGCGCATAAGCAAAGCCTGGAGTTCCTCATTCTTGCGGCCACACGGTGTCGTGAGCATACTTGGGGGTTCATGGGTAGATATAAGTAGGGTTAAAAGCACCCTGAATAGGGTGATCATATAGTTACCATACTGAAAACCTAGTTACCTTATAACTTCCCATGGACCAGCGAGGACAGACGCCGGCATTCAATCGTAGGAAAAGATCGCTTCCCCAGAGCCAAGCTTCAGAGAACTGATCAGAAGACTCTCTAATCCCCTCCCTATATTTTTATCCCCCTCCGACCCACTAACATTGAATACCGCCATTATGGTTATATTGGAGAACATGGGGTGGGGGATATTTAATATGTATTTAACATTAGTGGGAAGTAACTACCAGCCGGCCTGTGGCGGACGCCTCGCCACTTGACGCGGATCGCATCAGGCCTGCGGCCGCAGTCTATGGACAAGACCATCCCCCAATCACAAACAAAGTATGACAAAGGCGCACAGGCATTCATCCCCGCATGTCCCCACAGCCTGCGGCTCCCATAGCATGCACCAGCAAGAACATTAACCAACAAACATCATCTGCCCCGACTCGCCTGTGGCAGAAGTCTCAACTGTCGGCGCGAGTGGCATGACGCCTGCGGTTGTGCAAATACAGACATTCATCCCTGAATCCCTCTTCAGTCATGTGAAGTGTGAAGAACAGATGCAGAGGTTTCCTCCCCACTGGCACACTGCCCCGGGTGTCTGCACATAGAGGCAAGACACGTCATCTGTCCCAAGCCGCCTGTAGCAGACTCCTCGCCAGTCGGCACGAGCGGCAAGACGCCTGCGTTCGCACGCGCGGAGACAAACCCTTCTCATCCAATCGATATCAAACGTAGAGAGGTATGCCTCACGGCTCCCTGTAGTTTCCATACCCCTCGCTTGCATACGAATTTGAATAAGAAGAACTCGCGAAAACAACCCGCCTGTGGCGGACGCCTCGCCACTTGACGCGGATCGCATCAAGCCTGCGGCAGCAGTCTCTGGAAAATCCATCCCTCAATCACAGACAAACTGTGACAAAGGTGTACAGGCATTCATCCCGGCATGTCCCTACTGCATGCGGTTTCGTTAGCATGCAGGACAATGAGCCAACAAACGTCATCTGTCCCGACTCGCCTGTCGAAGTATCGACTGTCCGCGCGACTGGCATGACGCCTGCGGACGTGCTAGCTACAGAAAAACGTCCCTCAATCCTGCAACCATCTGGCGCAAAGATGTGGAGGCTTCCTCAGTGCCTGCGGTGTCGTCTGCATAGCAGGATCATTAAACGACTAAGACACGTGGTTCGTCCCAACCCACCTGTGGAAGACTCCTCATCAGTCGACACGAGAGGCAAGACGCCTGCAGTCGCACTTGTTGTAAAGATGCTCTCACTCAGCAGACAAAGATGCAATGGGTATTCCTTTCTGATCCCTGCAGTGTCGTATGCAAGGTGTCGCTGGCACGCGAAGAAAGACTTGCAAAAGAACCGCCTGTGGCAGACGCCTCGTCACTTGACGCGGATCGCATCAGGCCTGCGGCCGCAGTCTATGGACAAGACCATCCCCCAATCACAAACAAAGTATGACAAAGGCGCACAGGCATTCATCCCCGCATGTCCCCACAGCCTGCGGCTCCCATAGCATGCACCAGCAAGAACATTAACCAACAAACATCATCTGCCCCGACTCGCCTGTGGCAGAAGTCTCAACTGTCGGCGCGAGTGGCATGACGCCTGCGGTTGTGCAAATACAGACATTCATCCCTGAATCCCTCTTCAGTCATGTGAAGTGTGAAGAACAGATGCAGAGGTTTCCTCCCCACTGGCACACTGCCCCGGGTGTCTGCACATAGAGGCAAGACATGGCAAGACACGTCATCTGTCCCAAGCCGCCTGTAGCAGACTCCTCGCCAGTCGGCACGAGCGGCAAGACGCCTGCATTCGCACGCGCGGAGACAAACCCTTCTCATCCAATCGATATCAAACGTAGAGAGGTATGCCTCACGGCTCCCTGTAGTTTCCATACCCCTCGCTTGCATACGAATTTGAATAAGAAGAACTCGCGAAAACAACCCGCCTGTGGCGGACGCCTCGCCACTTGACGCGGATCGCATCAAGCCTGCGGCAGCAGTCTCTGGAAAATCCATCCCTCAATCACAGACAAACTGTGACAAAGGTGTACAGGCATTCATCCCGGCATGTCCCTACTGCATGCGGTTTCGTTAGCATGCAGGACAGTGAGCCAACAAACGTCATCTGTCCCGACTCGCCTGTCGAAGTCTCGACTGTCGGCGCGACTGGCATGACGCCTGCGGACGTGCTAGCTACAGAAAAACATCCCTCAATCCTGCCACCATCTGACGCAAAGATGCGGAGGCTTCCTCACTGCCTGCCGTCTCGTCTGCATAAGGCAGGATGACTAACAAGACACATGAATTGTCCCACCTCGCCTGACGAAGACTCCTCGCTAGGCGACACGAGTCTCAATAGGCCTGCATTCGCACTGATCAAACCTCTCTCACTCAAACACAGACAAAGACGCGTAGGGGTATTCCTCACCACTCCCTGCAGCTTGATATGTCAGATGGCGCTTGCGTACGAAGAAAGGCTCGCAAAAGCAGCCCACCTGTGGCGGAAGCCTCACCACTTGACACAGATCGCATGAAGCCTGCGGACGCAGTTTCACGAACAAAAAAAGCTGCCATGCCTGCTGACACGAGCAAAGCTCGCTCTCCCAACCCGCCTGTTACGGACTCTTCGCCAGTCGACACACGTGGCATGATGCCTGTGGCCGCACTCGTTGGACAGACGAACCCTCAATGACACAAAGGCATAGACGCGTACTGTAGAGCCATCCACCCTAAACTGTGAACCCTAAACCCTAAAACCGAAAACCTAAACCCGAATGCTTTGTGACTTCGCCTTGGGGGAGGTAACCCAGTGGTCACACATGTCCCTGGTACCCCAAGGCTGCAGGGCTGAAACCCTCCAAACTCCGAAGCTCCACATTCAACTCTAGCCCAAACTCTGAAACTACAAACTCGGAAGCCCTGGTCCCTAAACTCCTGAAACCTATACCCTGAATCCTACAAACCCTAAACTCCTAAACTCCGAAACCCTGAAACCCAGAGACTCCAATACACCATCATTAAGGAATATTAAAGAATATTCCTTAAACCATGTAAGGAACCCTATTCTAGCTTAAGGAAGATTCCTCAATGAAGAGTCCCTAAACTCCTAAAACCTATACCCTGAATCCTATAAAGCCTAAACCCTAAACTCCGAAACCCTGGAATCCCGAAAGGACCCCTCAAATCGCAGGCCTGGTGCAGGCGGCTTCAGAGCCTGTCAGGAATGTGAAGCAGAACCTTTTGGGGTCTCTGTGGGGTTTAGGGTTTAGGGTTTAGGGTTCAGGTTTAGGGGTTTCTGTGGGGCTTTAGGGTTTGATGTTTATGTGGGGTTATATGGGGTTTTTATGAGCGTCGTATGGGCTTAATGTTGTGAAGCTTATACGGGTCTAGGGAGTCTAGGTTGGGCTTGCGAGGGCTGACGCAGAGTAGTCAGGACCTTACGACACAACAGCCAAGTCCAGGGGGTGAGGTTTAGCACGCCGTAGGCTACTACTTAGGATCTTCGGGTATAGTATCTAGTATCTGCCTTAAGAGCCCAAGGCCCCTCCCCATGAGACCCCTATTGGATTGAAGACACCCTCGAAAGAGCTTAAACCAAAATCAAGCCCTAAACATCTACACCCAAATTAAACCAAGCCCTAAAGATACCCTTCCTGCAAAATGGGGGTTTCCGAAAATAGGGGTGCCCTTTGGGGGTCCCTTTAAGGGGTTGCTGTTCCCCCTTTTTTCGAAAACCCCCAATGTCTCTAGATTCCCAAAACCTGCCGGTGGGACCACCCCAGCCCTTGAGACACCAGGGGGTTTACGCCAATAAGGGTCCGCTCATACAGACTCTCAAATAAAAGGATCTCCTATTGTACAAAAGACCCCAAGAAGGCACCCCTACTATCGTAAACCCCCACTTTTGATTTTCAGTTTCCATGGTCCATGGGCCCTAGGGTTAGGTTGTTTCTGTGTTGGGGGACCCGAAACCGAAACCCTAAGCCCCGAACTCTGGGGGTTGGGTTTAGGATGTCTCAGGGACTGATGAAAACATCTCTCTTGCCCTGAACACAACCCTCCCGCACCGGTAAGAATAATCAAGTCTTTGCCCATCTGCCCCCCCCCCAACCCCGTGCCGCACGCTATTCTTTTACACGTCACGGGGATGGAGTGGTGGAGGGTTTAGTGTTAGGGGGAGGGAAGCATGAACATGGCCATTTCCCTGATTTGCTTAATCAACTGATGCAGAAGGAGACCTAGCCCCCTCAAAAAGGGACTGTGGGTATCACTAGAGTAACTAGAAATCCTGGTCGGTCTACGGGACTTACAGTCACCATAGCGTCCGTCCTCCCGCTTGCCGGTGCTGGAGGGGGGTGAACGCCGATGCCTGACGCAACAAGAGCATGCCCATGCGCTCTGTTCCAGCCTGAGATCTTGAGCTCTACTTGAAGGTTCATGGGACTTGCTACCCAATTATATCTGTACTTAGAACCCTACTAATAATACCCCTAAAGGGCCTTATAGGGGTTATCCCAATTATAAGTAGGGTTATAAGTACAGTTATAAGTGGTTATTACGTCCCATGAACCTTCAAGTATAGTTTGTCTATAAACCCTCCACTGCAACTGTCCTGTGCTGTACACCGGGCCAGAAAATCTACAGCAGATCACGAAATCCGAGATTTCCCTAAACCCTACAAGTCCTCATCCTTGCCATCCCTAAAGCCAGCATCTGGCGGGGCTCTGGCCGTTCGGTTTCACGAAAGTTGTTCTCCCGGGAAACCACCTGCTTTCTCTCCTCTTCTTCTTCTGCTTCTTCTTCTCAGTGGGCGTTTGACCCCTCCCACTTTCTTCGGCCCCCTCCGTACAGCCCCCCTCGCACCAGGACTCGTAAAGCAGTTCAGGTTTGCCAGGACAGCGCGCAGCCACGATGCCTTCTCCCTCTCTCTCACTATCTCGTTTTCGGTGTGAACTCAGGCAAGGTGCAGCTCGTGTCGAGAGCTGCTGGGATTTCAAAGGCTTGGCTCCCGAAAGCGGGAGGTGAGAAGGCCTCTAAGGCTTCCAAAGCCCTAAGACCTGAACCCTAAACCACCCTAAGTCCTAAACCCTAAACCATGTGCTGAGATGACGGCTCGCTGGCTCGCGTGCTCCACAATCTTCACCTCAAGCCGGATCGAGGGTCTCTCACACTTCTCCAGGGTTATGGGTTAATCTTAAGCCTGTATAGGTATTAGATGTCTCAGCGAAGTCGACGAAATCTCAGCTATTGGCAAGGAAGCCTCCCTCCTACTCCTTATCCCTCCTACTCCTCATCCCTCCTCCTCCCTCCGCCCTCTGCTCTCCTCCTACCTCCGTCCTCAACCCCTGAAGCCTTATACCTAAAACCATCGCTGAGGTGCCAACGAAAAGCTTCAAGACTGACCAAAGTGCCCACGACCTGACATAAGCGCTTAGGGCAAAGGAAATAATCACGCTAACGCGAATGATGAGGGAACCACTGCAAGGGTTTCGGGTTCAGGGCTTCGGGCTTCATAGAAAAAGGAGTACGCGGACCCTGCTTACCTGTACTCCTGTACTCCCTCTGTTCGCTTCGCCCACTAAATTCTTGGGGGTTCCTTCTTTGCATTCTCTTGTTTGGGTGGGGGGGGGGGGGGGGGGGGGGGGGGGGGGGGTGGTTCTGAATGAAGTTAGCACAACATGACAACTATGTTCTCTTATTCACTATATGTCCATATTGCTAGTAGCTTATGTCTACATGGTTCTTGAACTCAAAAGGGAGCCAAGAAGTCAGAGACCCGCAGTAACGGCCAAAACCATGTGGCCACAAACACCGAGGCAGCTGCTCCCAAATGTCGGCACTGTCAATCATCGCGGATACGATTGTGCCTAAGCTGGTTCTTGTAACTCCTCAGATGTTAACCAGTTAGTTCTTTGTCGAAGTAACTGAAAGCACGAGCTTTTTGGGAGGTTCCTTATTGCCCCCCCAACCCTATTTTGAGGAAATACCCAAACCCTGCCCTAAACCCGGGCCTACTCAAGATGAGTCCGGGGTGCGGTTTTGGTCCGTGTTCTCCAACTTGAGGATGCGAACCTGAGGGGTTCGGAGGCGGACAAGTCCCTGCAGAAGATTCGCGCAGCTGCCCAGAGAGCCCCTAGTACCCGGTTAAGGGTTTCGGGCTTAGGGTTTGGGGTTTCGCGTTTAGGGCATCATAAGGCCTAAGGAGATGCCTGTGCAGGGTTTAGGTGTATTCAGCTGAATGTAGGTAGCATATTGGGATTGTTGGGTGCTGAGGTCCCTGCGCAGAGGGCGCACAGGAATCCGTAGTTGATCGGCAGAAGGAGCATGTCCAGTATCTGGCAGCGTAGGGTCTGGCCCTTGATTCGCTAGCAGCTCACTTCGCCCTTTCCGCGGGCCAGCCCCGGCGAGAAAAAACACGCCTACTACTGACAGTCCAGCGCCTCAAGCCCCCTCGGACCCTAGACCTCTCAAAGGTCCTTTTTCTCGTGCAAAGCCCTTCAATGCCTGAACTACCCTCAGTTCCCCCTAAACTTGAAGGCCTCAGCCCCCTGAACCTCAGGAAGTCCTCAAGTTCCCCAGGGCACCTGGTCCACGGCCCTTGGGGACCTTTTTCTGACTTTGGAGAACTGCCAAACTTGACGGACCTCGTGGCTGCAAGATCTCGGGCGCACTCACTGTTGGGTAGTATGAGGTACCCTACATCCCCCTAGTAATATATACCCTTTCAGGGATTCTATAGGCCCCTATTCATATATACCCTTCAAGGGATTACATAGGGTACCTCCCTCATTCCCTGCTAACCAACCGTAAGTGCAGGGCTCATGGGCTCTGCGCTGAGGAAGGTGCCGTGAGAGTGATGACCATCCACATGGCCAAGTTGGCGGCGCAGACCTGGCAAATGAGAGCTAAACCCTAAACCCCAATCCCCAAACCCCAAACCCCAAACCCTAAACCCTAAAGCCTAAACCCTAAACCCCAAAACCCTAAACCCTAAACCCTAAACCCTAAACCCTAAAACCCAAACCCTAAATCCTAAACCCTAAACCTTAAACCCTATGTGCGGTTTCGGGTTGAGGGTTCAGCGGGATTCAGGTTTAGGAGTTTCCGATTTTTTATCACAGCTCGGGCCCTACAGGCGGTCCATTAAGACTGTTGTGACTCTCAGCTCTTCTTCCACGCAGATCTTCAAAGACAGCGTAGTGAAGGAGCTTTCCCGAATTCCGGAATATTCCTTAACTCACATCGGAGTGCTTTTTCGGGCATGAAAGTGAATCATTACGTAACGAGTTTTTGGAAGATCTGGGGTGGTTTAGTTGCTTTGTTTGATTTGGGGTGGGGTGGGCGGGAAGGGTGGCGTGGGGGCACCCTGAGGCGTGGGAACCACCTGTTCATCAAGGATGTGATTTACACGGTGGAAACTAACTAGCACATAGTGTTTACACAAGACCGGCAAACCCAAACCTCAACCTAGATGAGGGCAGACTGCAACCAGACCCCCACGGGAGTACATGAGGGCACGGTGAATCTCAAGCATACCCGAGGAGCCCAATACACCGTGACTAGGCAATACTGTACAGGGTTTAGGGCTTGGCGCCCAATACAGCTTAGCTAGGAAACTTCCTTAACCTACACAGCATCCCTCACAACAAATTAGCCTGTGTTGCTCTATTAAGGGGTATTGGGCACACGGGGTGAGCGCACGATGGAAGAGCATTGCCAGTTAACACTTCGATTCTAGGGACAATGGGGCATAGCCTCTACTGTGCACGTGCCACGCATTCCGATTGCCAACATGTCCATTGGTTTGTTACGTATGCTGAAAATGTCGTGATCTGTCTCCACAGATTCTGAACAATGAGCCCGGATACGCGCCTCCCAGTACCATCCATCGAGCATCTGAATCACCATGATCTCACGAACCTTGACGTTCATGTACATCTACTTGGTAGCCCAGTAAACCATATTACAGTAAGGGCACCCATTTTTTAGGTTGGTTGCTTTACAAGGGAACCCAACACCGAAAAAACAGGGTAAAGGGTGCCACTGGGACACCGGGTCCATGGTGCTTGGGCCACCTTCGCTTTCAGGATCGAGGCTCGACAGGATTTGGGGACGTAGGATTGCAGGGTTCAGGCTTCAGGGTGTCGGGTGGTGCTTCCTACACCCAAGCCCTCAAGGTTTAGGGTTTGGGCTTTAGGGTTAACCCCGGCCCGAAGCTCCAAGACCTCTCTGAGGACGGAACCATCAGTCCAGCCTGTCCCGCCAGCAGAAACCTCAGAGGCGGGAGGGCATCTGCCACATGCAGCTAGGAGGGTTTAACGGAGGTCTTGCGAGGTGTGAGACATGTTGAGCGGTGGTTTGAGGGGACTGCGCACACACACACACACAAAAGAAAAGAACGGCGGATAAGTTGGCATGGTCCCCCTTATAGGGTATCAAGGACTGTTAGCAAAAGGGGGAAACATCCCAACTGATAAGGATGGAGCCAGTACCACCGAAAGTTGTTGGCCAACCAGTCCGGGATCTCGGCCACCTTTCGTGGCTCAGGGTCTGGGGTTTGGGGTTTAGGGTTTAGGGTTTAGGGTCTTTGGGGATCCCGAGAGGGAGCCTCGAAAGAACCCCATAAGGGACCTCTTGAATGCGATGATTGAAGGATGGCCATTCTCGGTTTTAACCCTGAACCCTAAACCCTACACACTAAACCCTAAACCCTGAACCCTCATTCCAAAACCCTCAAACAAGCCCAGCAAGTCCCTCAAAGCCGCACAAGCGCCTTCAGGATCAGTCCGAAACGGGGAGTGGGAGTTGGACTCTCTGTGCCCTGGGAGCCTCGGCAGCGTGCGGGCTTTGAGTTGGGCGGGGGTCGGGGGTTTGTGGGCTTGGGGTTGCCCAAGGTTCCATAATGGCAAACACAGTGGCCTGCAGTCCCAGAATTGAAAGTAACATAGCCCAAAGCCCTAAACAGAAACCCTAAACATAAACCCTAAACCCTAACCCCCGTCGATTCAGGATGCTTACGGTGTGCTCGGCACGGTGTGAATTGAGATGCCCTCCAAAAGACCACCCGAACACGGCTCAAACCGAACCCCAAGCCAGGGCCAGCCAAACCACAAGAGGGTTTAGGGTCTAGGGTTTAGAGCTTATAGGGTGAATGGCCGAACTAGAAACTCAAAGCTCAAGCTTGCCTCTGTTGGGGGTATGCTCTGACCCGCATGGCCCTACGGTCAAAGACGGTTTCGACTGAATGAACGATCCCCTCAGCAGAGAGCTAGCCTGCGAAATCTGTTTCAGGACATTTGGGCCGAATAGATAAACAAAAAATAGATCTGCAGCCGTATCAGAAAAAGCAACGTTCCGAAGGCGTACAAAGTGGCTGTTGCCCGTGATGCCAATGTTAAGGTTCCCTCGCGAGCATTCAGGATCGGAAACATGCCCCCCCGAATTAGGAAAATAGTCCACTTGTGCAAACAAAGACCGGCCGATACATTCCGGGGCTTTGTTTCTCAAACTGACAAATGAACTACCCTGACGCGCCTCTTCACTATCAATTTAACGTAATAACAACATATGCCATTGAATTCACGCAAATACTAGTTCGGCTCAAAACCATCTTTGACGTTTTGAAGCCTCCGCTGGCCTCTTAGATAATCACCACTAGATGCCAGTTGCATTCCTGGCATACGCAACATCAACCAATGCAAGGGGAATACTGTAAATCTAGAAAAGCTTGCAAGTTGCACTCACTATATTGTCCTTTCACCTCGTAACTAACAAAACGACAAAATTGACAACCTTCAGTTGGTCCATTTCATTCAAGTACTATATCATGAAGGTTCCGTCCCGGAAGTAGGCTCCACACGGGTGGGCGAGGGCAACTCGCCCGTGGATGCGGGCTTGCGTGTCGCCTTCGCACCTTTGCGTGAGAGGGAGGGGGCGAGTCATTGATGACAATTGGGCTGTTGAGGACGTAGGTTTTGGGTGCTTTTCGGGCTTTAGGAACTAACCCTGTCTCAAAAGCCAAAAACCCGCGCAACCAAAAACCGTACAAAATCATAAACAACCTTGCTCCTGGTCATGCAGTACAACTCACCATAGATATAGAACTCTCCTCCATTTCCTGAAGCCACTGAAGCCCCCAAAAAGCCTAAGTCACCCAAAAGTTCCATGTTCAATCAGAGCTTCGTCTGAAGAAGACTAAGTCTAGGGCGTCGGAGGTTGGGGGGTTTGGGGTCCAAAGTGTAGGGGTTTGGGCCAGAACCTTAACCAAACCCAAAACACCCTAAACCCTAACCTATAAACCCTAAACATCGAAATCCTGACAGAATTCCACAACTGTTCTCCCGACCTGCTCGTCGGCAGCAGCGCCGGACCATCGAGCAAGGACCGCAGTGGAAACCTCAGCTCCCCTCTTTCTGGAGATGCTTGATTGAGGGTTGACGGTTCTTAGAGTTCTGGGGTTTTAGGCGTTTAAGGGTTTAGTTATTGTTCTGAGTCAGGGCCTGAGGGCTTTGGGGTCTGTAGGGTTTTTTGGGTTGAGGGCTGATGCTAACCCCAGGGGGCCAACCATGAAGACTGATGGGACCAACCAAATGAAGACTGACGTGAAGTTTTCTTGTCTGCGAGTGCGCAAGGCCTAGAAGCCACACAGACACATGCGAAGCTCGAGACCCCAAAGCCTCACAACCCCTGCCATTCCAGGGCCGTGACCCCAAGCCCTAACTAAACAACACCAGTAATCCCCTACCCCTAATATTAAACACCCGTATATGGGGCGGGGGGGGGGAATTCAATATTAGGATTAGGGCCCTCTAAGCCCTTAAACCTTCAACCTATATACGCCCTCCACGCTTCCACCCTAACACCCACGGCCCAGGGCCCTCACAGGTCAACACCCAAACGACCTCAGCCGTAGCGGGCGGTGTCAGAACGCTTTCTATGCAGAAAAACCTGAAGGCGCAAACTCTGAAACCCGAACCCTTGAAACCCGTAGACTCTGAAAGCTGAAGCCCCAAGACCTTCGCCCTCAAACGATGGAAGCCCTAAACCCTAAACCCTAAACCCTAAATCCTAAACCCTAAACCCTAAACCTTAAACCCTAAACCCTGAACAGCGAGCGCTGCCGAGCTCCGGGCCCTTCTAACTTGTCGCTTGATTTGCTCCACCACGTAATGAAACCGCCCTCGCCTCATGCGCCGGGGCGTGCCATAGTCAAGAACTCGGCATGCTGCGCAGCCTTCTTCTTTTTCTTGTTATTATTGTTATTGTTATTATTATTATTGTTATTATTGTTATTATTGTTTTTTCGCATTATCATTATTGTTGTTGTTTTGTTTTTACGATTATTATGATTACTATGACTCTTGCGAGAAACTGTGCGCCGCACTCGCCGTATCTCAGAAGCAAGGCGAGGAAACCTGGCACGCGCGAGCTTAGGGTTTAGGGCTTAGATGGGCTTAGGGTTTCGCAAGCAATGAACACTGGAGGTGCTCTTTGCGCAGAGCCCCCAGCCCATCGCAAACTGGAACGCGGCGGTGATGATCATGCCACCTGCTTGGGGCTTAGAGTTGTTCCTATTACACAAGGGTCATTCACGAGTCTCGGCATGCTGCCTGCATGAAAATCTAAGACATGGTCGTGCTCGGAGGCTAGGGTTTCCGAGTGCATGAGAGCCACGGCAAGTACTGGGGATGCTGATGGCCAATGTGTGCACAGTCGTGGGATTCTTTTGAAAAAGGACACGCCTGGTCGTAGCAGCAGTAGCAGCAGCAATAGCAGCAGCAGCAGCAGCAGCAGCAGCAGCAGCAGCAGCAGCAGCAGCAGCAGCAGCAGCAGCAGCAGCAGCAGTGGTGGTTGAAGTTGAAGTGGTTCGTCACCGTAGTCGTAGTAGTTGTACCAGTCATAGACATGTGCGTAGTGGAAGAAGAAAAAGAAGCAGCAATAGTAGCGGTAGAAGCAGGGCGTGTGCTCTGCGTTCTCTTATAAGCCATATTCCCAAATTACGGGTTTTCGCTCTCGGAAGACACCTTCTGGGTTGCATCAGCCGCGCAAGCTGCGAAGGAAACATCTGATGTGCGGCAGCGATTGGGAACATAAAATGAGCCCGAAAGAAGGGCTTCGTAGGCGTGCGTGAGTGGGGAACCTAGTAGTGCCCAAGCTTCGGGGTTCGTTTCGTCCCGATAAGACATTGGATTGGTCCTGAAACGCTCTAGAAACTCTAAAATCCAGCATCTTGAAAAAGCGTTATACTCAAACCCTACATGAGCTTGAAGATGTGGCTGGCTTGGGTTCCGCTGAGGGACTTCGGGTAAAGGACTGACAGCCGAAAGCTTTGCACAAGAAGCTGGGTCCTCGGGGTTCTTACAAACTTAGGCTCTTGCGGTTTTGGGCTAGCAGAACAGGATTCGGGGTTTACGGCTGATAAGTTCAAGGTTTAACTTGTAACAAGCCCTGAAAATAACTCCGGAAAATGGCCAGAGCCTAATTGACTTCTCGTGCTTGAGCCAAAGCAGCAGCCACACCGTGTCACCCCGCAAACCCGCTAAAAGCGCCGGACCCCAAACCCTAAAAACCCTGAACCCTAAACCCTAAACCATGAACCCTAAGCCTAAACCCCAAAGCCAGCCTAAGGGGCCATCGTTCACCACACTTGGCGCGGGCTTCATCTTTTCGGAGGCTTTTCATGTGCCAAAGAAATTGTACCGGATGCACCGCGATGCGTCTTCTTTACCTGAGAGTTTTTCATACATGCAGCACTCAAGAGCATCGCGAACTGAAGAGCTCCAACCAAAAGAGGTCCATGGGTTTCGGGTATGCCGCTTTTTGACCTTAAGCCAGCGTCCATCGCCGGTCGGTTTTCCGGCGGCAATGCTCCCAAACCACCTGTGCACAGGTCCAGTCGACCTGGCGCGACACGAGCGGTTGAACAGGAAATTTCGGAATCGTAGTTCTGGTCTACTCACTTCAGCTTGCATACCGCCGACGTCGACAAGGCATCAACTCTAAATATGCTTCCAACCAGCGATTGCCCTCTGAATCACAGATGTTCACCCGCACGCTCCTACACTCCATGACTTGTAAGCAGACCCGTGCCATTGCCGAAAATAGGCCAGATTCGCTTCGTCGTGAAATCGGACCGGCACCGTGTCACCACTGACCTACCAGGCGAGTCATGAGAGGCCTGGGGCTTCGCCCCAAGAACTCACCCCTAAGTCCCGAAGCGCTACTACCCTAAACCAAAATGATTCTAAAGCGGTCTGCCTGGAAGCAAGATGGTTCAATGAACTGGTTTGGCCATTTGAGCCCCCCGAAAACGACTCCTAAACACGATGCTCCGAGACTCAACAAGGAAAATTGAACAAAACATCCCAAGGTCCTACCCAGTTCCTGAACCCGAAGCTTGGTGGACTAGGGTTTAGGGTTTAAAGGTCGGGTAACATTCAGCATGTGATGGGCTGCATACTCCACATCACCCAGGAAAAACTTAAACGGGACCCGGAGCCCGCGGCCTCGGCATTGAGCCAGGGGGACACAGTGCCGAACTGGGCGCAGGTAGCGTTGGGATTTCAGGGAGGGCTCATGGGTTTCTTGTGTCGTTGGGTCTTTGGCGCCGATTTGACCCACAAGCAGACCTAAACCCTAAAAACGAAACTGCAGGCTTCTGGTTCCACGGTGCAGAAAATGGGCATGCTCTCCTTGGCTTTGAAGAGTTTGCCGGGCTTTGGGTTTGAGTGTTCCGGGCTCGAGGGCTTATGGGTGAAGGGGGTGAAGGGGGTGAAGGGGTCTATTTTGGATCAGAGGCGGCAGCGTGCTTGACCTATCATCTGACTTGCTCTCTGAAGTAGAGCTTGGTTTCTTGACGTAGTTGTTCCGTGATGGTGTCGCCCTGGTTCTCGCCAACTTCAAGACCCCTCAACACACACCCCTTCCCCGGACCCAAACATCCGCAGCACAAACCGAAGAGATAAACACATTCAATATCTAATAAACACAAACACATTTGTATACATACGATATGATATATATATATATACATATATGTATGTATATATATATACACATACGTATATACATATATACATTTATACATATATACATATATACATTTATATATATATATATATGTACATACGTACATACATATATACATATATACATATATACATATATACATATATACATATATACATATATACATATGTACATATATATATATATCTGCGTGTATGTATGTGTATATAAATGTGTATATGAGCCAAACTAAAACCAAAAGCCTCTCGGCACCCCACCACAGCGTCGAGCTCCTCAAGCGCCGCTGCGCTGATGGGCTTTGCCACCTGAGCCGAGTGAGCTGGTGATAGCCTTTGGCTTCAGGGGGTTAAGGGTTTAGGGTTTAGGTGTAGGCTTCGGGGCGTTAAGGGGGGAGCTGTCAATGCTTGGTGTGCAGGTACCCTGAACCCTACGATTTCGGCTTAGGCTTCTTTGTTTCAGGGGCCAAGCCAAAGCTTACAGGGGCTCCGTGGGCACAAGACCCTGAAAGGCCCTGGGGGCCAAAGAATTCTGAAAGGAGGAGACTCCCCAAAGCCGAGGATAAGCGGGCCAGGGTTTGGAGTTTCACCCTGAACCCTAAAGCCTAAACCCTGCCCAGGACTCGCACCGGAGGTGCTGTCGGAGGTTCTTGCAGGTCCACACTCATCCCTGAGCTGGTTGAAGGGGTTGAGCCTTTGGGGGCCGAGAGGTCACCATGCTGTCAGGGTTTAGGGTTTAATGAAACCCCAAACTTGGCCCCAAACAAACCTTCAACCCGAAATCCCGGGCCCCAAGCCCTAAACCCCAAACCTTGCAAGACCCTTTTGCCACACCCTTGACCCAAGGGCCTCGGGACCTCCTGAAATAACCCTCACTTTCGGCGGCCAGAAATATTCCGCGAGCTATGGAAGCTATGGTAGGAAGTAGGAAGCCTACTACATGATTTGAGGCAGATTCCTTCACTGAAAGATCCTTGGCGCTACCAACGGGCAACCGTTTCATTACGGCAGGAAGGGGTGATCTTCACACCCTACTACTGCCTACACCCCAAACCCCAAACCCTAAACCCCTAAACCCTAAACCCCAAACCCCAAACCCTAAACCCCTAAATCCTAAACCCCAAACCCCAACCCCCAAACCCTAAACCCCTAACCCCTAAACCCTAAACCCTAGCGACCCCAAGCCTCAAACCCACGATCCCAAACCCTACTTTCGGCGAGCGCGACAGGGGCCAGGTCCCGCCTGTCGCGCTTCCTGCCGCGCCGATGACGTCCACGGCCCCCTCCAGGAACTTTATCAGGTACCTGTGTCTGGGTTTAGGGTTTAGGGTTTAGGGTTTAGGGTTTAGGGTTTAGGGTTTAGGGTTTAGGGTTTAGGGTTTAGGGTTTAGGGTTTAGGGTTTAGGGTTTAGGGTCTATGGTTTAGGGTTTCTTTAGGGCAATGATTATGTCTACTTGGAGGTTCATGGGTCATCGAAAGTAGGGTTGCAAGTACCCTAAATGGGGTAATGGGTTGTACCTTTTACAGTTGCCACCCCTATATTGCACGCCTTGTCTTCATTTGATGGTTTCGTTACTCGCTTGTGTTCACAGAACTCAACACCAACAGAACCTTTGAGTCCACGATGGGCTCACTGGGGTTTAGGGCTTGGGGTTGCGTCCGCTTCGGGAGCAACTGGGGTTGTTTAAAATTAGGGTCCCTGTGGGGATGTTCTTTATAAGGGATCCTCATAGGAAAGGCATCCAAAGCCAAGAGATCTCAACACGCCCTTGTTTAAGGCATAGCCATTAATGGCTATTCTGGATCCCTATGTAGTCTCAGGAAGATTCCTGAAGCTACCCTAAGCCCTAGAGACCCTAAGCACTGTAAGCCCTAAACCCTAAACCCTAAACTCTAAACCCTAAACCCTACTTGTTGAATCACGCACGCGTCGCAGAGCAGAACCAGGAGAGCACTCCTTCGGGCGCCGCCCCAAAGATGAGAAGAAGGCGGACCTGGAAAGGTTCAGGGTTCAGGGTTCAGGGTTGAGGGTTGAGGGTTGAGGGTTGAGGGTTTACGGCTTCGAGTTTAGAGTTGAGGGCAACTCTGGTTAGAATACCCAAATTAGATGTGTTAGCATGGATGCCTTGGTAGAGTTGTTTAAGGTTGGGTGCGGACAAGGGGCAGGGTGTGGCTCAGTAGATGACACAGCGCATTCTAGAAGATGCTGGTCCAAGTACAGCAAGAGCGCAGCTGAAAGATTCGGGGTTTGTGTTTACGGGTTTTGGTATCCGTGTCTTGGAGTTGGTATTCAAGGGGCCTTCTGTCAAATGTTTTGCCCGTCTACATCATTGAGCATTTCGCCTGGTCGTCCCGGAGAACGTGAACAGTCATGATTGCATGGCTGGTGATACTTACTTACCATGCCTAACAGGCTCACATCAACAGTCGCGGACGTAAGGCTAATCTGGAAACACGCGCGGCGCTTGCAGCTTGCTGACTACGTAATGCAAGGAGATGCTGCCTGCCTGAGCACTC